TTGTAGTAGTTGCTTAAACAGCTGCCCCTCATGGAAATGTTAATCCTCTTGAAAGTTGATGAGAAAAACAAAACTTACAGGAGGCAAAGAAAGAAGTGATAATTAGGTCACAGAAAGTAAATAAAGAGTGAACAGCCAGAAGCAAATATAACAGTGAATAGATTCAGCAGCCCAACCACCTTATGGTCTGCTCTTGCTTAGGAATGAAGGTTCTCAAAAAAAAAAAAATTCCTCTTACTCTGAATATTTTTAAAATAATTTAAAAACCCTGTTAAATCCCACAAAAGAAAGGTGAATGCCTTTGTCTGTTTGTGGAAAGCATTACCCCAGTTTTAAGGAAGGGGAAAAGAAAAGTTCTACCACAGCAATACTACAAATTTGCAGGACGTGCCTATGTCACTGTATTGCTCATCCCTACACCCTGGTGTATCCTGTTGGGTGGGATCACATGTATTTGTGACTGTGGTACATCTATATGGCTGGTGAATCACCAGGGATGTTAATTTTAAGTATGAAAAGACGACCTAGGAAACGTCTTATGATACCAGAAAAGTTAGTATGTCAACAAAAAATGTAACAGAAAAAAAACCCAATTCAGTGCTACAAATGATGTGATACGATAGGGACATGTGGTTTCTGTAAAAGAAAATCATGTGTTCTTATATTAAGATGTTTTGAGCATGTCAGGAGAATCATGAACTTAAGAATCAGTTGAAATTTCTTTGGTCTATAAAAAAGCCTTTGGCAAAGCTTCTCACAGAGAAGCTGCCAAATAAATTAAGCAATATGATGTACTATGGCAAATTAGAAATCCACCAAGAGACAGTAAAACAAAGGGTAGGAAGGAATTAGCAATTTTAAGCATGACAAAAGGCTAACAGAGGGGTGTTCCATTACTAAAAGTGGAATTGTGCATATTTTAACAAATGTGATTTGCACATACTGATGACTGTGGGTAAGAAAATTGTAGATGATACAACCTTATGTGCATGAATCAAGATTAGAAAAGGCAAAGATTGAAAGGGAAAAAAAAAGGTTGACTGACTGATAAACAAGGGGGCAAATGAAGTTATTGTTGACGAATACAAGGTACTGTACCTTGGAAACCAGAGTCTAATAATGCACCTGGCTGTCTGATATAATGAACTGTAAATGCTCAGGAAAAGTATCTGGATATCATTGTAGACAGTTCAATGAAAACCTTTTCTTGACATGCACAGGAGTAGTTAAAAAGTACACTAAATATTTCAGTGTCTGGAGAATAAAACAGAAATAACACTGAAAATATGACAATGCCATTATTACCATATGGTATGCTGCCACTTCTGGTCACTACATCAAAAAAGACATATCAGAAATAGAAAGGATTTTAAAAGTTGGCAATGAAAATTATTAGTGGGTTAGCAAAGAAAGAACTCCCTTTGAAGAAGGAAGCTGAAAAGAATGGGACTGCGAGGAGGGTAAGAGAGGTGTGATCAAAGGTGGGAGGTGTGATAAGAATAATGCATGTGATAGAGAAGAAAAATCCAATTGCCTCTTTTTTTCTTTCTTGTAATTTGAGAATGAGGAGGTAGAAAGAGAAACTGAAAGAAACAAAACTTAAAAACTGTGACCAATAGATTACTTGTATCAAAGTCCTCAAACCAGCCTGAAGTTTGTAAGCACTGTATAGTTTTGTTTAAAAGATCGAGCACACGCTGAAATAACTGTAGAAACACAAAATATCATTTGAGAGTTGGCAGACTGCAGGGTTAATAAAGATAATAGAAGTACTTTGCCCAGACAAGGAGAACATCCGTAGTTAAAGGAAATAAACTCAGAAGCCAGAAGCCTGTAAGTGTTTCTGACATAAGTCAAACAGTAGTTTTATGGGATTTTGAAAGAAGCATTCTCTATGAGCAGGTTGTGCACTGTGGCTCGTTGCAGTGTAATTCAGAGAGATCCAAATCTGGCAGCAGCTGGGCTCAGACTGGGACTTTGGGGAAAACCTGCCAGCTGCACTCTTGTCTCCTCCTGCCTGTGATTCTTGCAGGAATGGCCTATTTGAGTCTAAAGAAGACATCTGATGGTTTGAGTAGCATTAACACAGTGTAAGAGCCATTCTCTGTCTCATGGAGGGAGAAGGCAGCTTTTTGGACTGCAACATTGTGTGGCCTAGATCTTCCCTGTGGCTTTCTGTGTAGCTCTACGGGGTTTCTTGTTTTTCATTCTGCAGCAAGTAGTTACTGCCTTGACTTTTCCCTCCAAATAGCATAGAATGGCCAATTCTTGGCTCTTTCAACTGCTGTTGAATTAGAAAATAAGGGACAGTGTTTTCTTTAGAGGGACTTTCGCTTCAGTTTCTAATAGTGTTCAAATTTTTAAATGAAAAATATTATGTATTTTTGAAAATAAAATAATAAAAATATGTTAAAATCTTCTGGTGGCAGTTGACTTTGGACGTTGTAGGCTAAATATTGGACTTGATGTTTTTTCATATGTTTTTTGTTTTCTAGATCTAAAATTTTTCCTTTCGATACGAAAATATTTGGGCTTGAATTCTGTCATTCCTTCGGCTGCAAGTTATAAATGTACTTTGTTTTATGAGAAATCCATAAAATTTTTCAGCTGTTACTCTCTTTGGGCAGGAAAAAAATCCAAATGAAATGAATCAGTCACTCCTATTTTCATCCATTCTCAAAAGATATTGCAGGGGTGGCATGCCATACTCCCAAGAAGAGAAGGTGGGCTCCCACATTGACTCAGCCTTCTGAAGGCATCGTATTGATGACAGTGATAAGGGCCTCTAGAAGAAGTGGTTAAATAGGTAGGCAGGGAAATGTTGATTGAAGGGGATCCTGGAGAGAAATCCTGACACAGAATCTCAGTGGGTGTAAGAGATAGAGTTGCCATGGTGAGAGTGCTTGCTACCATCAGTACATCTTGGTGCTCTTCATGAAGAGTGCTGTGAATACTGACTGCTGTGCTTACAGACCATCCTGTTTCCAGTAGTGTAGACAGGCAATCTGCTTGGCATTTCCATTGTAACCTGTTAATATTTAGGATTCATTGTGCTGCTATTCTTCTGTGAGGTTGCTTTGAATCTGTTAGGTTACCATTAGCTTCTCTCTTTTTTTTTTTTTTTTTGTTGTCAGGTGCAGTTATAAGATTCCAGAATTACTTTGTCTGTAAATGTCATGCTTATAAAACACTGAGAATGTCATTCTGTGAAACAGCTGGCCAAGAGAAGTTCTCTCTCGCTGTGTGTTTGTCTAGTACTATTCTCTGGAGCCCTGGAAGAACTGCTGAATGAAAAGTTATACAGCACTAGTGAAATGTGTCTTCACTGAATGCAAAAAGCACAAAAAGAGGGACATCTCCCAGCTTCATGTTTTAGCAGACCAGAATTGAGGTCTTGTGTATGTAGAGCTAGGGAATCCTGGGTTGTGACCGAATTCCTCTTACTACACAGAAAATTAACTGGGCCAAGTCTACAACCATGGGAAACTCCAGCCTGAATTTTGTCAGGGCTGTGTTTGGGAAATGCTACTGTTACCCCAGAGCTCTGCAGTGTCTGCACTAGGACTCTTGGGATGTAGATCTCAGCTCTGCAGGAAACTGGAAAGTGCTGAAAGCCTTAGCTAAAGCTGGGTTTTCTAAGCTCCCTGGTGTAGAGCTGAGCTTTGATTAGAGCCGAAACTCTCAGGGCTTTTGGACTCCCAGATTGTAGCAGCAAGTCTTGGATCCCTGGCACAGCTGGCTGCTACTGAGCCAAGCCCAGGGAGCAAGGGAAAGAGTGCCACTCAGTAGGGTAGGGGAATCACGCCTTGTGTGCCAAGAGTTCATTAAACCTTTCCATGTTTCAGGTGAAATATTTTGCTTGCAACAAATTGCCATTTTCCAACAGAAATCTGTCTCACTGAAATGTTTCCAACCAACTCGAGTCACAAGTGAAAACTCAGTCTGGTGCCAGTTTGCCCTGATCACGTGTTCATCAATTAGTAAGGAACAAATGTATATATTTGCCAGTCTTTTTGCAGAGACTAGCCCAGAATGCCACTGTCAGGATTTAAAATTTATTTGTGAAGTCACAGTGGAAGAACTTTTCAATAGAACTGCTGCTATTACTCTGGGCTCAGTTGTTCCTTCCCTGTAACGAGTACTGTATTAAACAAGAAATTGTATAATTATATGTATGTAATTTATATAGTGTGAGTGTGTCTGCTCATGTAATGTGTTAGCCATTACATATGGGTGGATGGGGTTCTCTTTAAAAGGTAATCAGGATCAAACCTAGTACCCAGGATACTAGGCATTGTGTTCATACTGGAGCATGCAGGCTCTGTGAGAAAGAGCCTGCAGTCAGAGTATGAGGACAGTAAGATTAACTGTAATTCTTAATAGACTGTTAGAATAAATTGCAAACACCATATTTTTTGTTTGTATTTTAACATAACAGAGCTGTTTATTTTCTGGTAGAATTAATTTGCAGCAAACTATTTCAGTAACTCCTTGGTATTGCCAGGTGCTGTGTTTTTACCCTAATGATACATAAATCAATGAAAGACATTGCTATGCAGGTTGGTTTGGTTTTTTTGTTGGGTTGCTCTGAACAATTTTTATTTGTGAGGTTGCAAAGAATGATGGTGGTTTTTTTTAATCAAGAAAGCTACTAGTTACAGTTTGGAAGTCTTTATGTACTGACAGGTCATCAGGATCTGGTTGTAAGGACTGTTTGATCCAAAGCAGACTTCATCATTTCCAAGCTGCAAAAACAGATGTTCCTGATTTTTCTGTTTTCAGTTGAGCCTGATGTTTGTGTTCTTTGACTTACATGTGAAAGAATCCTACTGTTCTTAGTGCCTGACTGCTTTCCAAGTGCTCACAATGAAGAGTTGACTCATTAGTTATCATCATCTTTTTTATTTAAAATAGCATGAAAAATGTAGAGTTGAGATTTCTACAGTGCTATTAATCTGTTTTGCTTAACACATGCTTTTATCTTTCGCCTCTTGAACCAGGTTCATCAGCACCAAGACAGGGGCGAGACCTTTCAATGCCAGCTTTGCCCTTTTACCTCCTCCCGCCACTTCAGCCTGAAACTCCATATGCGTTGCCATCAACATTTCCTCAGGACAGAATCTAAAGTGAAGGAGGAAATACCAGAAACTGAGGTGAAGGGGTCACCACAGCTAAACAGTGACTCCTGCCCGGGACCACAGAGGGAAGGAGGTGGACCTGACCTCACGGGATCAGCATCTGTATCTAAAACACCTGATGTGGCTGGGCAGCCTGGTGGGGGTGTTCCACCTTTACTGGTGAAAGAAGAGCCCAAAGACGACAGTGGTGTCTCAGCTGCACCTTTTGCTCTTAGCACTGTTGACAGAGCCCCCAACAACACAAAGCTGAAAGACTCCTCTGACTTTGTGGCCAACACAGCATCAGCACTATTCAGCCAAGACATCTCTGTCAAGATGGCATCAGATTTTCTTATGAAGCTGTCAGGTAATTGAGCAGCAAGCGGCAGCATCAGCTGCTCCTTCACGGGCTAAGAAACACTTTGCCTTGGGTTTGCTAAGTCAAAGAATTGCAAGGAGGGTAACCTTTTAGCTTCTTAACTTAAAATTTCTTGTTTCTTTTCATAGGAGAGGTGCATGACGGGGGGAGGAGGGGAAACAGTGAGAAAAGAGAGTGATTTTGCTGTTTAGTTGCTGGGATTGGGAGTCAGAACTTTTTATGCAGGCTTTGAAGTTCATTGACAATTACCTTGGCAAATCTCATTTGGTGTGTTTTTAAGGTATGCTCAGTACCTGCAGTTCTGGTTTGAAATCACACTGGTTTGAATATTCAGCTAAGTTCTCTGCCTTTACACCCCTGTTAAAAAGGACCAATAAAGTACTGGTCACCTTCCTTTCAGAGTAGTATTTGAGGTCTAAGTATAAATACGTATGAAGTATGAGTGTTATTGCATTTCTTAGTTATTAACACTTTTTTTAAAAGGATGGTCCCTGATTCATGAACAGCTTTTAATTTTTTTATTATTTTAATTGAAATCCCTTTCTAATGCAAAGCATGTGTTTAATGGTTTTTTTACTGTCAGATTGTTGCTGTAGGAATGATATTCATATGTGAGACTCTGAAGTGGAGGATGTGTTTAGGGTGAATCTGTTATATTTTATGTGCTCTTCTATTGATATGACTGAATACTTCAGGATTGTCGATATGCTGGGGAGGTGCTCTATACCAAAGTTTTTCAAAATTGGCCTTGAATTTTTGAAGAGAAAGAAGTCAGGAAAATGTTGCTGAAGAAACTTCTGTTTCACAAGGAGATGTCAGTTCCTAGGGCAAGTTTTAGACTTTGGAGATAGAAGATAATCTTTTCAATAGAGAATAATTAGTCACCTTCCTCTTTTAAATGGAAAGTAAGTTACATTTTAGCAAATTTTATTGTCACGTAAACTAAGGAATTAACTCTGTCTTAATGCCATTGCCTTGGTGGAACCACAGCCATTTATTTAGGTGAGGCTTGCAGTCCTCATCTGCCCAGATTTTTATACCTCTGGGATCACAGTTCTGTGAGGAATTGAGTACAATGGGTAAACACAAAAAATCAAGACTGAGGCTTCACGGAGCCAAGCTGGAAAACAGGAAAGAGCTAAGGGCAATCAGGAGTTGAATTGGGCTGGCACAAATGGTTTGCTGTGTGGGTTGGAAGAAGCCATAGAACCCGCTCTTTAAAAAAAAATTAATAATCCATTGATATAATTTATTGCTATGACTAACGAAAAGCGGGCAGGATGAGTCTGTTTTGATTTGCTTGTACATTTTTTTTACTTGAGTTTCAAATTTGGCCTCTATGTGAAATCCATTTTGCATTGTCTAAGAGCTGTCCCACACATGGGGTTGTTCTGATGTCAATCTTTAGATTTGGGTTGCTGTGCATGAAGTGGCTCCTGCACATCAGCAGTACTGACCTGGAGATGGTAGTGCTCATGATGGCTGCATGTAGCAGAAAGCAGGAGAGGGGGGGAAAGCCTGAAAACTGAGAAAACATACAATATTTTGATGTGCTGCTTTTCGAGTAGCAGTTGATGGGGAGCTGTTTACAGTTTGGCAGACGGTCATGTTTTCAATGTCTGATCTATTGGCATCAGAAAAAGGACACATAACGTACGTTATTCATGCAAAAGGCCTATGCAGTTATTTTATGGTGACTTACTAAAGGTCTTCAAACCTGACTTGTATGCACTGTTACCTAGCAACATGTTATAAAGTCACTGGGGGAGCGAGATGTATGTGTAATTTTGTATGTCCGCATATTTGGATGAAAATGTGCTGCCAGTCACCAAGTTTGGTACAGAAGAAGAGCAATGTCTAAAGGAAGGGAATTTCTTTTCTTCTGAGATTTATTTTGTTACCTACGTTTACTGCGTGCTTTCCTCCCTATAGTGTGCATAAATTTAGAGGAGAAGTAATTCTCTTTTATCAAGTTGGCTAAGTATTAGCTGCATTTTAACAGTTTACTGTGCTGAACGAAGTTCCTTTGAGTGATTTCTTTATTACCACAGTCTTGTTAGGCCCATCACAGCTTCAATTATTTGCCCTACCTTTCCAATGATATAAATCTTTTGACATCTCAAATTGCATATGCCAATTGCAACAGCCAGCACAGATTTGTGAGACCAAATTATGTCAAAACAATCTAATTTTCTTCTCTGACAGGCCTTGTGGCTAAGAAAGAAGCAGTAGATAGATACACAGACATTTAGAATTTGGCGTTTATTCATATTGAATATTGATGGTTTAAATGAACGTTTATTTTTGCTTGCCAATGCTTATTGCTCCTCTTCTTGGAGGGGGCCTGTTGGTTCTCATTTCTGTGCAGTTTCAGCCTCTGCTTTTTCCAAGTGTGTGACTCAGAGGAGCGCTTGTCTCCCTTCAGACCTGAGTTCCAGTTTCCAAAAGTTTAACTGGCACACCGAGGGTGAAAGATGGTGCAAAATTGGTGTTTATTAAGTGTTGGGAATTTTAAAACTGAATCTTAATAAGCATGTGTATAATCTTGACACTCAGTATTATTTCTGAGTGTACTGTGCAGCACCTCTCTAGTCTAGATGAAGTGGATGTCAGATGGTTGGAAAACAGTAACACTGAAAGTAGTCCACAATCAAAAGAGAAGAGTTGCAATCAAAAGAGATCTGTGAAAAATGTGCAACTGTTCAACAAACAGTTGCACAAAACACGAGACCAGGAACAACTATCTAGGTAGCAGTTCTGTGGGAAAGGAACAGGAGTTAACAGCATCATACTGGTGCTAAAAAGGGCATAATTGTACTGGGGTACAATAGAGAAATAGCCTCGAAGAAGGGGGAAACAGTCCTGTTCTTCTCAGTCTTTCTGAAGCCCAAGGTTTTGGCACTATAGCTTATAAAGAGTGCTGATAGATAGAAAGATTTAAAAGGATACAGTGGAAATGACTGGGAAGTTTAGAAAACATGTCCAATGAGGAGAGCTAAAAGGGAGTAGACTGTGAAGCCCATAGAGAAGACTAAGGAGAGTCATTAATGACCCTTTAATGCATTAAAATGTCTGTCATAGGGAGAAGGAAATAATCTGTTGATGATTCATCATAGAACCATAGAATTATTTGGGTTGGAAAAGACCTTAAAGATAACCTAGTCCCAACCCCTGTGCCGTGGGGCAGGGACACCTCCCACCAGACCACATTTCTCAAAGCCCCATCCAACGTGGCCTTGCAAACTGCCAGGGATGGGGTATCCATAACTTCTCTGGGCAACCTGTTCCAGTGCCTCACCACCCTTCACAGTAAAGAATTTCTTCTGTATATTGAACCTAAATTTCCCCTCTTTCCGTTTGAACCCGTTACTCCTTGTCCTGTCACTGCAGTTCCTGATGAACAGTCCTCTCTGACTTCCCTGTAGACAGATGTAGGCAGATGATGTCTATCCACCCATATCCACCAATGCTTAGCCCTGTCATAGAAGGCCACCAAATTCATCAGGCATTGTTTTTCCCTTAGTTAAGCTATGTGGGTTTGTTATCACCTCTTTGTTTCCTATGTGCCTTAGCACAGTTTCCAGGAGAATGGAAATTATTGTAATTAATCATAAAATCATAATAATTAGGACAAAAATTAAGAGGATTATATTGCTGTAAGTTTTAAGTTAGCATTAGGAAAGTCTTTCCACAGTTAAGCTATTTAAACCTCTGTGATAGTTTGGCTGGAGAGACTGAGGCATCTCTGCCACAGGACAAATTTAAAAACATGTTCAGAACGGGTTAGGGGAGCTTTAGATTTAAAGAGGTTGAGAAATACTGGTGTGGGTGACCTGTTGAGACCCCTTCATCCCCAACTCTGTGCCATTGCTTGCCAGAAAGTTATGTTTTATGAAATAAGGCATGACACAAATCACCAAATGTAAACCTAAAAGTTAAAACAAATCTTGAATTTTTTTTTCCAGATTCCATTCACCAAGTCCTAGTTTAAATTAGGAGAGGCTTTCAAATTCACAGGAAATTTAAAAGAGTTCTCTGAAATTTTATTTAAATTTGTTTGTAAAGGGAATTAGCAGATGACTGAACATATAAACAGAGGAATATTTAAGCATGGACATGTTTTTACGTTCAAATCTTCCCTCTCTTATTTCAGTAGAACTGCTTACATGGCTTTAAGTTGCCCGAGTACTTTGCGGTATCAGTGCTTTGCCAGAATGTTTTCTTCCCCCAGTCCATTAATTCCATATTGAAACTTTGTAACAGCATTCATATCTTAATTTGAAGAGTATTTGCTATTCCTGTTTCAAAGGTTTCAGTGGCAGACATTATACAAGCCGTCTCTTTAAATACTGATGTCCTTCCACCCACTTTTAAGGCTTGGGGTTTTTTTGTAATAAAAAAGTGTCTTTCACAATGATCCAAATTACAATGGCCAGTGTACCCTAGTGGTGTTATTATTGTGCCTGTGTTATGTGCTGCAGTTACTTTTAACATTTGAAAATAAATGAATCCCAACAAAATGAATGGGATTCTTGCACTATTGCTCTCAAAGGGATTCTGTGTGGAAACAGTAATTGTAACACATACTTCACTGCTGGCCTCTCTCCCCCACCACTCTGTGTTAAACAAGTGTATTACTCTGGAAAGCATGTCTCTTCATCTTTTGAAGTGTTATCAAGTGGGCCCTGCTTCTGGCGTTCTTTTTATGTTCCCCAAGTTACTCACGTGGAAGAACTTTAAAAAAGAGAGGAGGAGGGAGCTAACATGCTGAGGGTTTGGGGCTGGCCACGTTAAACAAATGAGAAAATATGTTTTCTCCCGAAGTCATATCTGCTGTCACTGTCCTGTGAGAAGTCAAATCTTTGTTTTGGAAAACCATGCCACTGTGGGACTTTGGTGACTGTCCAAAGTATTGGGACTTTGCATTCCTGTTTTATTAGCTGATTCCATTAATGGAATAATGAAAGAGTAAGACATCAGACAGCTAC